TTATTCTCATGGAGCCATGCGGATCAGGGCGGTCGAGAGTAACCTATATAACTCGGGTAGACACACGGTAAGTCCCTGGTCATATTAATTATGAAAATAGTTTTTAAAAAAAAATTCCTGGGCAGTCCTTCAAACATAATGTTATGCCCATTTACATTTTACATTTAAAATTTATCTTTTGCTCAGTTTAAAGTGATTTAAACTTGGTGGGAAAAAAATGTTTCATTAATCAAAATTGCCAGTCAATCAGATAGAGCACACAGTCAGAGGACATTTGGCTTTGTCAGAAACAGCGGCGTAAAACAAATGCATCGTCTTGATTCATTGCCTGATTGATCAAAATACATCTTACAGCAATTAGAGACAATATTAATAAGAGATATTTGAGTCTCCCCACAAATCTCCATTACAAGGAGAGGTTTTCATTCATAGACAAAACAGTACATTTCAACAGTCCAGATTTGTATTATATTCTCAATGTAGAAACGTTTTTTTTCAATGAAAGAAAAATAAAAACTAACATACTTCAAATCAAGCAAAGTTTGAAAATATAAAGAAATTGTTATAAAACTGCTGATCTTTCATGAGAGGATTGAACCTGGGAACCTGAATATACCTTAGTTCAGGCATGTCAAACTCAATAAGGTGTATGGGCCACAAAAAAAAACTTACTATGACCTGAAGAGCTGCAGCCAAAAATCAATTGGAAAACATAGCTATTAATTTTATGTAAATTAGAAACAATAAAACAGAATACAATAATGAATGGAATACCTGTGGCTTAGTTAGCTAAATTTGTAATATTATATTGTTAATTAAATTACTATGATTACGCATTATTTTTGTTGTCCTGATGCTTGACATCTTTTCTGGGATACAAGTTTATTAATAATCAGGTTGAAGTTTTGTTTGCCTGACACTTTCATCACTAATTTTGATCTGATAATCTCCCATCTGATATTCTCGAGCTGTGAGGTGTTTTTATAGCCTTCATTAAAGAAAAAAAAGGGCTTTCAAACATAGCTAGAAATCCGGCTGCAAATTACCCCATATCGATGTACCATTTAAGCTAATAACTGTAAAATTCTGGCACAGCCACTTCTATATACTTCGCTTTCAACAAAGAATCTGACTGCAGTTCTATCAGCTCTAGTTGCACATTATCAGCAGCATTTTCAGGAGCAAATGAAAATTGAGATACAAAAATATAAATTTTTTAATTTTTTTTTGCATTAAATATTTTACCTGATAATTAGTGGTAACTTTTAAATGCTTATTAATTTAACATTATTTTGATAATTTTTGAGGTGACCTAGGGGGCCACTTCCAAAGTGGCGGTGGGCTGCATGCAGCCAGTGAACGTTATGTTTGACATGCCTGCCTTAGTATATGCTTGGTGGCCAAGTGGTAAAGAGCTTGACCTTTGAATCAAGTGGTCTTGGGTTTGATTCTTGAAGATTGGGATTTAAATTTTTAATTCAAGGTTTTAAGTCCTGTGTCCACCCAACTCTAATTAGGTACCTGACAGTAGTTGGAAAAAGTAATAGCTGTTGGTTGGTCATTGTGCAGCCTCATGACAACCCCCTTAACAGTCGGCCATAGAAACAGATGTCATTTGCCCTATAGATTGCAAGGTCTGAAAGGGGTACTATTTTATATTCTTGTTGCCAGTTGAAGTGTGATAGTGCTGCATTACTGTCAAAGTGTAACATTCTTCAGTGGATTTTGTTAAAGAGACTTTAGTGCAATTTATCATCTTCGTATTTCAATCCAGTCAGTTACATGACCTTTAACCCTCTCATTAATAATGATAGTAATAATACAGATAGGGAGAGTCAAAGTGCTTTTTCTAAGTCATAATATTTTAAAATAATTTATGTTTGTTCTATTTTCTTACCAGGGGACGCAGCCCTGAATGGTACAGTAAGGTCTTTGGCCATATTTGTGCCAACTTTCTGGAAAGGCTCCAGGAGTCCTTCAAGCAAGAGTCGGGTGGACCAGAGACAAAAGTATAGCAGATGCTGATCCATTAACCAAGTGCCATTGTTTTTTTGGTGCCTACAGCTATATTTAGCAGCCTTCATGTTGTAGCCCACGCCTGGGTTAATTGATCGTGATGCTGACCTGGTGGTGAGAATAACATGCATAATAAGAACTGTGGTGTTCCTTGCATCAGTGGTGGTGCCAAGCTGCATCCTGGTAAGCTATCATGTGATTGTGATAACCAGGAACCATTAACATTTGTTCATGAGAGAAAAAAATGCGGACTTCTTTCATTTCCAGATCTGTTTTGTTGACGGATAGCCTATGGACTTAACTGCAACTGCTCTGCTTACAGAGAAGAGAGTGGGAGAATCTTTTTAAAATCTACATTATTTCTATTGACTCATGGCAGCTATTTCTTTCTCTAGCATTAGATTTTTTGTTTTATCTTTATAGTCTTACTTCTAGATTTGTGAGTTTCAATTTTTCAAACTTCATAATCTTGTCTTTGGACTCAGCTTTGTTTGAATTTCAGAAAAGCCTGGTTTAATATAAAATACCTATGTTTATATATATATATATCATATATATATATATATATAATATAAACCTTGCCTAAAAGTAAAAAATGTTAACAGTTGTGTTGGAATTCCATTTTACATAACATTACATTGGTAAAGATATTTCTAATGGAAATTGTTGGATGTTACATCAAGACTGTTATCACTGTTTCTGTCAGGAAGCTGATGCAACAATGTTATTCCTTTTTTTAATGTTCATATCAAAGCTGCTAGATTTCTAATGCCCCATTATCCTTACATTTTGTGTGTGTAAATGTCTATTGTTTTACTCTCCATGTCAAGCAGGGCCTTGCAATGTTACCCAACTGCATAATGTTGTTTGATAGCACCATTTGGTCTACTCTATATCCACACTGATATTTCAAGAGTGTGCAATGTTTTTCTTTTCTTTCTCCTGTTGGAATGGTACATGCTAAATGTTTTCATACTCAACTTTATGACTTTTTATAACACATTCAAGTTTTAATGGAAACAAAGTGAAATTCTCCATCTACCCCATATTATTTTTTTTACATTGAAAGGGAAGTCAATCCAAATTGTTTTACTGCAGAAATGACGCAGTTGATTGGACAACGTAAGGCTATTTTGTTAAAGCCTAACTTTTTATCATAAATATCTTGCACCTTGTAGCATGTCTTTTATGATGTACTTTTTCTTTATCTTTTTCATGCCAGATAACATTAAAGCTAGGTTTTATATTAGGAACCTTTTTATCACTGTAGGTCTTAATAAAATGTATTTTTTTTGTAAATGTTTTTTTTTTTAATCCCTGTAAAGTACAAGTGGCCATAATTACCTCATTTAAACTTTGAATTCAACAAATAGCAATTTTGTTGATATTAGTATATAAGTTGTACAATTCTTCACTTATCTAATATATACTATCCTATTTATGTCTAGTGTATAGACCTGATAATGACTGTCTATTATAAGAAAGTATATCTGCCATACATAATTTTCTACTAAAAGTAATTTTTGTATTTCTTTCTTGATCCTGGCCGGTGATTATTTGGTATATGGCATGTAATGTATGTTGATGCTTTATATGTATATAAGATTGAGTGTGTGATTTTTTGTGCTTCTGTTGTCCTTGCATATTATTTTGTCATTAGAAAAATCCCATTGGATATGTCATCACCTAGATACAGCAATCTTATGTGTTCTATTGATGTGGTCACTTCCTGTTTAAGGTGATGTCATTTAATGTAGACACTGGACACCATCATTAGTTGGGCTTTGAGTTATTTGTGCGTATGTTTTTTTAATACCCCTGATATTTATTAATGCCTGAAGGTGCTTGTTAACATATTAAATGCACAGACAAGCAGTAGCACTGAATAATTACCACATCATTGATTGATGTCTATATCATTAAGTATGTCCACTTATTGTGTGATTTACCAAGATGTCTACATCATTAATTAATGTCTTTATTATTCAGTGACATCCATTCATTGAGTGTTTGCCACATCATTGATAGATTACTGCATCATCGTTAGATGTCTATATAGTGATGTTTGGTCTTCAAATGGGCATTTTGCTTTGTCAGTTTAGAAAATGAGCTATATAGGGACAAATTCATTATGTTATGACTGCGTTCTTGAATTCACAAATGGCAGATCACTTTGCATTCTACAGACCATTATTTTTTTTGTTGCTTTGATATGTTTGAATGTAAGCTTTTCTTATAGGGCTAAATAAACACTGGTATTCATGGGCTATTTATTTGTTTATGGATTCAAGGTCCAGTAAACTAACATTACTTTTCATTCGCAAGATGTTTTCTTTATTTATATATTGTTTGTGAGTCCCATTCTGTTTCATCTTTGTTCAGAAGATAGGAACAGAAACTATTATGTTCAACTGAATCTTGGTTCTGTTGTTGTTACATGTGAAATATATGTGTACTTGGTGTACTGCACTGAACATTTCATTGGGTTTTTCAATTCAATGTTCTTAATGTGGTCATAGCCTGAATGAATATAGCCAACATGCACACTTGAGTGTGATCAAGATGTGGTTGAATGTAGTTATATTATTTAGTGGTTGTGGTCATGATATGGTTGAATGTAGTTTGGTTATGATTTAGTGGATGTGGTCAAGATGAGGTTGGATGTAGATAAGATATGATTTAGTTGATGTGGTCAAGATGTAGTTGGATGAAGTTAAAAACTGATCTAGTGGATGTCAAGATGTGGTTGGATGTAGCCAAGATATAATCTAGTGTATGATCTAGTGTATGAAGTTGTCCAAATGTGAACTCATATCCAATGTGGTCCAGAAAATTCAACATTTCCTCCTGAGTAAGTGGTCTTTGAAGTTCTATGTGGTACTACTTTGTGTACAGTGTATGGTTCACTGGTGTCATAATATAGCCTAGTAACATATACCTGACTATTACACTCTTGGAGTACATTTCTTCTTGCATATATCAATGTATGTATAAATGGCTGTACACACATATATATATATATAAATAAAATATATATAAATAGAGCAAGCTGTACCATGTTTTTTTGTTTTCTCTAGACTGTATAATAAGTTGATTGTATGATCCAGCCCCTCTCTCTCTGCTTGAGATGATGTACACTTTGATATTTTAACACAATCCAGGCTGTTGTCTTATCTATGACAATATCAATAAACTTTACTATGTTGAAAAGAAAAAAGTTTGTTTTTTATAGTTTTAAACTAAACCTTATAGAAATTACAACTGACCTTATTGAAATGTTCACTTGTGTTAGGCACTATGTTCTATATATATCTGTGTCGTGTTAGGCACTATGTCCTATATATATCTGTGTCGTGTTAGGCACCATGTCCTATATATATCTGTGTCGTGTTAGGCACCATGTCCTATATATATCTGTGTCATGTTAGGCACCATGTCCTATATATATCTGTGTCGTGTTAGGCACCATGTCCTATATATATCTGTGTTGTGTTAGGCACCATGTCCTATATATATCTGTGTCGTGTTAGGCACCATGTCCTATGTATATATCTGTGTCGTGTTAGGCACTATGTCCTATATATATCTGTGTCGTGTTAGGCACTATGTCCTATATATATCTGTGTCGTGTTAGGCACTATGTCTTGTATGTATCTGTGTCAAACCAAAGGAATGGATTTTTTCTTTTGTATTTAATAATGTTCCTGGGTCGACCTAGTTCCAATTATTATCGACATGGCCTAAATTGTGCCGATGCGCCTAAAATCATATCAAATCTAATTAATACACTTGTGCTGGCTGGATAAATAGCTAGCCCTAGAAATGGGAGATAATCTATTTTTACACATAGTTTTGTTTCTAGAAGGAATAAATGAGGCCAAGCTCCTTAAGAAAGGGGAGTAATTTCCTACTGGTGCTAACAGGCCAAGCATTAACACAGTAACCGTTCCTACTTCCCATTTGCCAGACGACACTTTTATGTTTCTAAGATAGATCTGAATCATCTGATGGACCACTATCACCATGGAAGGACCGATGATTGAAAATGAGCAAAGCTTGTGATGAGTTGTTTTGGCGGGCAAGATGTTAAAAGAGACTTTGCTACTCAGTGGAAACAGCCAATCACTAACATGCACTGCTAGATTAACGATTAGACACTCAAGGGGCGTAATTAACTTCTGTTTTGAAAGAACGTCTGCAAGTTAAAAGACGTGAACAAGTACATTTTCGTGTATTGAAGGTTTGGTGCTTGCAAATATGTAACACTATTTTTAGTTTCTCACTTATGGTAAATAAATACAGTTGCTACAGTTAATTTTTTGTATCCACACTTTAAGAATGGCATACTCTCCTAATTGACGATACCAACGTTGATTAGACCTCATTACATTAATTGCGTTTTTGGTTTCATAAACTTTAACGACTATTATATAAAAAGAGAATGTAGTCCTGTATAATTCTATGCCTAATAAAATGTTTTCTGATAACATGAAAAAAGTTAATGAAGTTTAACCCTAACAGGGGAGTGAAACGCTAATGAGCAAAATAAAGAATTCCACCAGAACGTGGGAAACAAGTACGGAGAGATAGAGTTAAAAAATTCAAAAGAGTCGTTGTAATTATTTACAATTAAATTTACACAGAGCTCTAATGTTTAAATGTTTTAACGGTATAATTAATTAAAAATAGACTGTGTTTTTTGAACATCTGTAAGAAAAACAAAAAACGGCCCAAACCAAAGTATTTCAACTCAACAAATTCTTTACTAAAATAAGAATCATTCAAATTTGGAAACCAAAATATCAGACATCACAACAAACGTTCAAGCTAAGGGCAATAACACAATAAATGTTGCATTGTTGAAATTCATCCACAGTTAACTCCCTTTAAACATATGAGTTGTGAGGGGGAAATCACTCATTTGTTAGACGCAGAGAAATGAATGATGATAACAATACAACAAAGTATAAAGTTCAACATGAAATTAAAATATTTGTTTTGCAAACAATGGGATCACAGTGAAGCTGATATTAAATAAAAAATGTGGAATGCCTTCTGCTTGCAAAATGGGTTAAAATTTCTTTATCAGTTACGGCCGAATCTCTTTTGTCTAGGCTGGCACCAGAAGAGTGTTTTCTAGACCGATTCCATTTTTTGTGTCCGCCTCTGACTCCTTTGGTAAAACTCCTCCCACGTTCGCCTATCCCTGGCAGGTGGGGGTGGCCAAACATGTCCTCGCTGTCTCCAGCCTCGCTCTCAGATACGCCCCTGGAGCTCCGACCACAGTCGCTGTACTGGCCCAGGTCGTCCTCCAAGGCCAGCGCCTCGTAGTGGTTGCGGTCGGGCGACGGCTCGGAGACGGATGGCGCCCTGATGTGGCTCCTCGACTGAGGCGCCACGCAGCTCCGACGCCGGGCTCCCTGCTCGGCGTCGGCTGCCAGTCTGATGGCCAGCTTCCTGGCCCGGCTGTCCAGCTGGTGGGTGTGCCAGCAGTAGGCTAGGAAGAAAAACACGAGAATGCTGACAGCCGCTACAGAGCTGGCGATGACCAGGGCGGTCGGGTACTCCCTAGGTATGTCCTCTTCCACAGACACCGACGGGTTGTTGTGGACGCTTGCATCATTTTCGGAGATCTCCGAAGACGTGGAATTGATTCGGAAAATCTCGGGACCGGAAAACGTCGCTGACGCGTTGTGGAATACTATTTCTGAGAAATCTTTGGTGCCATTTGCAGATTCCTGGCTTGACCCCGTAGCCGGCATTAAGGCCATGACCAGGGTCAATAGAGAGCATGCCAGGTGGACTTTAATTAGTACAACGACTCGACTAGAGCTCCACAGTGAAGGGAGCAGATTAGATGGTTGTGTTGACAGGTCATCCCAAGGACGTAGTCTCCGTCGCATGATCCGGTCACAGTAACCTGTCACATGGGAGATAATGTGGAACTCGGACTCCTCCCTCAGTCATTGCTGAACAAGGTCAAAGACAAGCATCGCAGAGGAAATAATGAACTGAACACTAGTGACCTCTGAATTCTGACTGACCTAGTAACCTCTGACTGGGGGTTCGACTGGAAAAAGCAAAAATAACTTCGGCAGACAACAGAATAACGTGAAAGAAACTCGTTAGAGCCTCATGAAGTTTCGTTTTTAACAATTGCACCCACAAGTTGCTCACACTAAGGTGCCTGCACGACTCATTGCCAAGTCTTTTGGTGATTCCTTCTACGTCCTGGATTCAAGGCCTGGTGTCTTGTTCATGCCTGCCAAATACCTAAGAAAGTTTTAAAGACAAGGAATTAGATTTTCTTTTATCGTGAAAAGTCTAATTAATAAAAGATTAGTTCTAATAGTATCCACCCAGTGTTACATATTAATGTTATACAATTCAGAAATGCTTTAAAGTAAAAGTATATTTTAAGACATAAACGATTCTGGAATTTATGTTGATTACATAATATTATAATTTTTAACAAATCGTTCTCAAGGTTTTAATTGTAAGTGTTCCATATGGTCACACCAAAGTAGATCTACTATTCCTATGTTTGTATTTATTTTATAGCCGTGTACTATGTCACTGTATGCGTGTGTTTGCCCTCTTTTTTGTTTTGTTGTTCTTTTCTTTCATCTACGCTCTTTTTTGCTCCATCCCCAACGCAGTCTTTCACCACCCATCTTGTTCCTCAATACATATTCAACCATTCACCATACATCTTGTCCCTAAATACATATTCAACCATTCACCATACATCTTGTCCCTAAATACATATTCACTCATTCACCACCCATATTGTCCCTCAATACACATTCACCCATTCATCATCCATCTTGTCCCTCAATACATGTTCACCCATTCACCATCCATCTTGTCCCTCAATACACGTTCACCCATTCACCATCCATCTTGTCCCTCAATACATGTTCACCCATTCACCATCCATCTTGTTCCTAAATTCAGATTCACTCATTCACCACTCATCTTATTCCTCAATTCATACTCGCTCATTCACCACCCTTAATATTATATGGATAACAAATGAAGTGTGTCGACATTTGAAGCGAGATGCGCCACACACACACACATGTTGGAATTTCACACATAAGAGGCATACCTGCTTATAGATGGGCGTGTGGTAAGCGCTCTGGACTGTCGTCTCGAAGTTCACGAGTTCGATCCCTGCCCACCCCGCCATAGGAAACATGTACAAGAAAGTTTGGGTTGTGAAGAAAGTTATGTTGGCTGCAATAGACATACTGGACAATGCTGTACAATACTGGACTACTCTGAATCATACTAGACCATACTGGACCATTCTGGAGATCCTTCCAGCCTTGCCACCAATTGGAGTTTATCTCTGGACCATTCTGAACCATACTGGATCATACTGAACTATACTGGACCATAATGGACAACCCTAGCATGTTCCAAACTAGAGATATTTGGGCCCCAGACAACTTCTTTTCCTCCCCCCCCCCCTTACACGCCAGGAGCCTGTTTGCTTCCCCCGCCCCTCCCGTTGGCGTGCCTGCCCCCAGGATCGCACCCTATATCAGTAAAGCAAGGCTTGACATGTTTTTCCAAAATATCACTTGGTAGAATTGATCAGGCCATTTAACCACGTTCTACGTCATAAGCAGGTGTTTCGTATCCCATGGGTTACTCCCCTTACTGTACTTGGCTATTTCGTATAAACACTCTTTCTACTGGTTCGTAGAATTTAAATGTTCTCAATTAATTACTATAAATTTTATTTTACTCTGGGTTAAATAGATCATGATTATAACTAGTACTGTATAATTTGTGATGGTTAATACCCTTAATACCGGCATCGGAAGTTGAACATTTCTGAATATAAATGATAAAGATTATGAATAGAACTACCCCCCCCCCCCCCACTTATGCACACGCGTTAATAAAAAAAAAAGATTATGTGGGAGAGGGGAGAAGGGTATTCCAAATAAAATTGCGATGTTTTAGCTCTAGATCAAATGTTGAGTGGCCGCTCCATATTTCTACTTCAGATTTGGATTTGTTTTGTTTTCTTTGTTTCTAGTTTTCTTTTCTTAAATTATTCTTTCCCATTAACTTTGAAAAATTAAATTGAAAGCAAGAAAAACATTTTTTTTTAAATTTGAAAAAAAAAAACGTATATAAAACTAAATTCGATAAATTAGTTTGGACTATTCATATCATTAAATTTGTAATAGATCTAGGCTAA